GGGGGGTAAGGAGAAAAGGCCCTGCCACTCCAGTGGCACTCCAGTCCTTCTCCAGTGGAATAGCCTCTCTGAAACTTTGCTTCCTTGGGGAACTGGATAGCTTACACGTTCAGCCAAAGAAGGTTTTCCTATTCCCAATGCAACCAGGGTGGTGCTCGTTTGTTCGCTGACAGCAGCGAGCCTAGGCTGACCACTGGTGTTCTAGGTCTCCTTCCTACCTCTGGCTGTAACGCAAAGAGGACTGAGCCCATAAGCCAGTCCATCAGAATGCCCTCTGTCTTGCACAGATCTCCCCTCAGTGTAAAACCCATCTTTTCAAAAGAAACCTGAGCAGAATCGGGTCAGTCATTGCATGCGTAATGGTGGCATGATAACCTTACTGGTAACTTTCTGCTCTGCCATGCAACATGATGTATCCCATATATCTTCTTTCCATACAAATGACTCTCTCATGAAGATACCATAAGTGTATACTCAGCAACAATGAGATTAGGCTTTGTTACTGCTGTAAATGTAACTGTGCCCCACACCCTGGGAAACAAGGCAATAGGCAGAGTCCTCTCCAAAAGTGAGAAAACTCCCTGGTTATTGACCACCGAGGATGCAGCTTCTGAGAGGATGGCAAAGGAGGGAATGCAGCTGGTAAAAACTTTGGGGTTTATATCTAAGGGCATCCAGAGCTCCTCAAAATGTTTGCTACTGCCTGACCATTTGTGAAGACTTAACACAGAGATAACAGGTACTATTTAACTGATGAGAAGAAGTGAGGGGAATGGGAGAATAAAAGGAATGCAGGAAACTGTAGGGATGGAGGAGGGCCTGGTTGGGGGTTTTAATGTCCCAGTTAGTTTGGTTCCCCCACACCCTCTTTTCTTTTTTCTTTTTTTTCTTTTTTTTTTTTTTTTTAAATCGATTGTACAGATGAACATGGGAGAAGTTCATGCTACTTGCTGGAAGCAATAAAGGTAAATTTCCATGGCCCATGGATTCCACAGACCTTTGAGTGTCCACCTCATCCATCATGGGCTAACTTATGGAACCTAACCGTTCCGTGGCAAGACTCAGTAGCCCTTAGAAACTGGTGGCATGTCCTCAGGTATTTTCCATGAGAGTGAGAGACACATTGGTTCCATCAGCTTCTTCCTCACACGATGCCCGAGTGCCTCAGGTGCAGCCTTGCGATTTCCGAGGATCCTCTTGGACGTTTTCAGACATCAGACTGCTGTCTCCAGATCCTCATGGGAAACCATTTGGTAGTTTTGTCGACTCTCCAGGTAGGAGGCCAGATCTGGGTCACCAGCTTGCTGAGCCCTGTCACGAGGGGTCTTACCCTATAATAAAGAAACATGAAGAGACAGTCTTGTGCTAATGTATTTAGAAGAACAGATTAACACAGGACCCAGAAAAATTACTACAGGAAGGACAGAAGCAAATCTGGAGAATACACTTATTTGTTGTACAAATGGGTGTCAGGGGGTTTTTTATCAGAGTCATGAGATTTTCAAAGTCCCTGTGTAGTTTGGGACAAATCATGCAGTTCTCCAAGAATATGTTATTTGATATATCACACAGAAGGGCTCCTTTGCTAGAAGGAACTGATTTTCCATTCTAGGACTACATTCCCTATGTGATTGAATATGATGCACAGTACTGTAGCTAACACTTGAAAAGCGCACTTCATAGACTACACACTTTGCTAAGGATGTGCAGAGAGAGATGCCCAACATTTCAGATGAGTTCAACGTGTCTCATTCTATCTCAAGTACAAATCATTTTTCAGTGCATCAATTTACTACTCTGTTATTTGAGGTACATTATGAGTACTGTTAAATTGGACCACAAGTCTTGATCCTAAACTGTGAAAAAATATTTGAAAAACATTAATTTATCTCCACAAAAACACTCCTGCTCCTTAGATTTCTGAGCAGATGAAGATTAACAAGTCAGAAGCCACTTGTCTGGATTTCAGCTGCTGCAGAAATTAACTTCCACAATGTACAATATTCTCATCTGAAAAAGAGATGATCTCTCTTCCCTTTATAGGCTACTCCAATACAGGATAACATGGTAGGAATTTTTTTCAATTGTCTTGCTGCAGTTAAGGTACTTCTGTCTCTGTAACCCAGAGATCCAACCACCTCTCAGCTGCTGACCACAGGATGCTTATGTTCAGAACTGCCAGAGGGGTGGCTTTTGGACCGTGTTCCCAAATGATCAGATTGTTGTATTGACAGAATATTCGTAGAGTTTAATTTTGCCCAGACATCTTTCTCAGCCAAGCGTACACTGAGAGGGTTGTGGTTAGTGTCACGTCAGTGAGCACAGGGGCAAGCGAGGGCAGGAGAAAATGGCTAGCCATCGTCACAAAGCAAGCCAGCCACAATAATCAATCAAGCCTCACAGACACTATACAATCACAGACCAAGGCTCCTCCAGGTGGTCCTTGCCCACAGGCCTCTCTTTTGACCACACAGGAGGAGGATGCTGCTGTACCATGGAGAAGCCTCATTCACACCCAACGCACCGAATAGTTTAAGGCCAGGCTCTCACTATGGTGAAGATGACTCACATTGAGGTCTGAAATAAAGTTTCTTGTACTTGTTTAAATCAATACAATTTTCCAAATAAAAATAGCTTGTTTAAAAAGAGCTGCTCTTGGCACACACAAGGAAACCTCAATCATGCACACAGCAGGGACGGATGCTCATCAGTCTCGCTCGGCTGCAGTATTTTATAACTGGTTGACGGGGCTGGGTTACCTTTGAGTCCGTCTTTCTCAGAGAGGCTCCCGCATCCACCAGGAGCTGGCAGATGGCACGATGGCGCTGGCAGGCTGCCTTATGTAATGCTGTCTCACCCCTAGACCAAAGTACAGAAACCAGCAGTGAGACACATCACATCAATGTACATTTACGAAGTATGAGGTGCAGAGGACAGACAGAGAAGGATGCTGTATTTCTGCGAGGTTCCCTCTTGCTGGTAGAGGTAGACTTGGGCACTCTCTCCCTTAGCATCTACATCCTTTGACTCAGTAGGAAAGCCTGCAATGCACAAATAGCAGACGAAGAACTTCTGAGGGGTGGGAAAGAAACATGCACAGGTTTTAAGTATTCAAAGGAACACATTCCCATCCAACCACTAATTCTGCTAACTGCTGCAAAGGCAAACTAGACACCTTCTTCACAGCAGGCAAAACAGCAACAGTGTTTGTTTCTTCCTGCAATTTCTTTCATCAACCTAATTCTTGGAAGCATCCTAGAAAAATCTTGCCCATCAAAGTCATGACTGGTGCACTAGCTGCCCTGGTTCTGATCCCCTGCTCTCTTGGATGTATGAGAGCAAGAGCTGTGTTTTTGTTTTCCACCGGTGAGACACTGCGGAAGCTTGAACACATGCTTTTCAAAAGAGAAGGCTGTGTAGTGGGAGCAGATTTATTACAAAGCTCCTCACTCAGACTGGGGTTACATGTAACAAGATTCTGAGACTGGCTGCAGTACCAAGGTTAAAGAAATCTATCTAGATTTGCCTGGGAAAAGGAGGAAAGTGTGCTTTGAGTGGGTTGAAAAGTTGTCCTTAATACTAGTGTTCAACAAGTAGAGCCACTACACAACCTCCAGAATAACAAATTATAAGATATATGTTTAGTAGGACAAATATTGCACCTACCTACCCAGAAAGTGAGTGCATAAAGGAATTTCAGCCTCAGCCCATAACAGGACAAATTGAAATATTAATATGCAATCTTGTAGTGAATCTGTCTCTGCTGCATGAGAACTAGATTCAGAATATCTGAATTCAGAATATCAGATTCAGATATCTGAATATCAGAATATTCAGATTCAGAATATCTGGGACACTATCTGATTTCCCTCTGAGGATCAAAAGACAAATTCATGCTTGAACCTTCCCTTTTCCAGAGTTAGCAGTAAAATGACCTTTGTAAAGGGAAGCCCTCATAGCCACGTTCACTTGCACTTTATTTCATTGGCTACTGGGTGGAGAGAGACAGGCAGTCCATCCAGACTCCAGCACGCCTGGACTGCACACATGCACCTTGTGCAGAACCTTCCTGGCATTCCCTGTTAGCAGAGGGCACTGTAGGATGAGGAACAGGTTTAACCGTTATGAGAAAGGCTACTTTCGCTTCACATATATACCATGTGCTTCCCAGGACTATTCATGCTTCCCTTATATACTCTTTGTGACACCTTGATAATATAACAAGACATAGAGCAGTTGGTAAAGGAAAGTTAAGTGTTTTTTTTTTATAATAACAGAGGTGCTGGAGGTTCTAACTACTAAAGGTCAATCTTTAACTGCACTGGTTGTGACCACTTGAGACAGCTAAGGCAGAGCACTCTGGATGAATCAAGAAGGGACTAAAGAAAAGGTGTAGAGCAAGAAAAATAATTTCCTAATTTGTGGAATATTTCCTTCAGGTTGCTTCCTCGGTAACTGGATTCTGGAAACACCAAATGCAGGAATTGCATTCCTCTAGAAAGATTAAGGAGGCACGGGAAGCAATAGAAAGGAAGTCCTTTTTAGAAACTTCAAGAAACATTTGTTTTAGTCCAGAAAGCCACATATGAGGTGGTTGGCGTTTGGGTTTAAGGGGGCTTCTGTTTGCTTGTTTGTTTTTGAAGAGATGTGCCATTGTACAAGCTTTTTTATTTAAAAGCTTACACTTGAAAAACAACTGAAGTCTACTAAGGTAATGCACAAAATGTGAAGGGCAGAGCAGATGGTACTTACGTTTCACTGTCTGTCATGTCCAGTAATTCCGATGGACCTGCAAAAGACAGCCAGGTATGTCATATAGCATTTGTCTGCGTGACTAGAAGAGGACGATGACCAGGAGAAGATTCCCAGTGCAAATACATAAAAGAAGCCAATTGAAAGTTCCATCTGCACAAATATGCCAAACTTCAAGGTAATATTTGCTTGTGCAAGCTCTCGCACTAGCAAAATTCTGAATGCACAGTCACTGCTGGAGTGTCAGCACCAGGGAGTAGCTGCCTCTAAATTACACTGGGAATGAATATTCATGGAGTTTATTTTCTCACTCTTCACCTTGCTCAATTAAGTGTTTCACATAAGTACAGTGCATTGAAAATGCTGATATACTGGAAACCCTGATATATTACAAGTAAAAATCTATTGTTAGCACTAGAGGGAAAATGTCATTAGGAAGTTGAAATTAGCCAAATTCCATCCTGAATGACATCCCTGTGCTACACCATTTAATAGCGTTATACAGAATGTAGATCAGGGTGGAATATTCCCAGCGGTCTTTATATTGATATGCAAATCCTGTACTCTACTGGCTAGCAATGATCAGGAAAGTAAGATTAAGAAAAACAGAAAAGATTTTTGTTAAGTGGGACAAAATAATGCATTTATGCTAGTGTTCTTTTGTCCTTGATACTCACTACAGGCAGATGTTTATAGCAGCAAATTCCATCACTGAATTACAGTGATAAGGAAAGGCTCGGATCTGGATAGCATTTGAAACGAGAAAAACTTTTCCCTTTGCAGTATGGCTTATTATTCTTCTCTCCACTGCTCTGGAGCATAGTGCCAGATGGTATGGGGCAGTTAGCAAGGGGAACAGTGAAACTTTACAGGAATTTTCCTTCCTGTGCATGAATATTTCTCTTCAGCACACTTTGACTTTGAAATTCAAGAGTCCTCAAGAGCCTACAGTAAATCTCACCTGAAACTGAGGAATTTCACACTACTTGCTTACAAAGGCCTACACACAACCTCTCTACGCTCCTTTCACTCTGAGTGTGTGTCAAAATGGATCAGAGCAGCCTGTCTGTCCCTCACTGCTTTTACAACATCCACACACAGTACCATCAGGGGCAGCTGGCTGCCCCAGCTCCCAGAGCTGTAGGTAGCTCCTTCATTTCATCTTCTGTCAACATGAGACAAGACTGGTCAAAAAAGTAGCATGCGTAGTCTCCAGTGCTCAGGGCATTGCATATCTATCATGTCAGTTCTCCAAACTTATTAGCCACTGTTGATTTTTAATGCACAGCATCCTGACTCTACTGCCACACATCCTCATCTCCACATGTGGCAGTTAGTGTTCACTCCTCCTTCAAATAGAAAAATCACTCATGACACCTAGGCTCCCATAAGCATGAAGTAAGATACAGGGGAGTAAGCAGGGCCCCTTGTTGAGAGGAAAGAGAGAGAATGAATACCTGAGAAACTAAAAGGAAAAAAATGACATGTGAAGAAAAATAGACTCCTTTACATTCCCCAGGAGAAATTCATGTTCTCTTAAAACAGAGGCAATTCTCCATGGCTTGCTGCAATGCCACATCCTGGTGACATGTAACCAAGAATGGCCTGCAGTGTGTTAGAAAAGACACTGCCAAGTAAACTATTATTTCTGTTCATGGATGGGACAAGGAAGGTTGTGATGCAAGATGGAACAGCGTGACTGGCCTGGCTGCGCTGTGCATAGAGGTACTTGCCCTGGTAAGCAGAAATAGGTGTTAATATACTATGAGGATGGATGGAGAGAAGTTAGAAGAATATGACCTGAGAGGAAGGACAAGCTGGGACAGAGTGGGTCTGGAGATTGGAAACCAAGGGTAAAGGAAAACTGGTGCAGAGGAGGAAGAAACAGCAAGGATAGGACAGAGGAGCTCAGTGATGAGGACTGAGCAGGCAGCCAGTGAGTGTGGACCTGAGGAGGTGCCAGGTATATCCCACCTGTGTGTGAAGGGTGCTTTCCTGGATACTCTCCCAAATAAAGCACTTCATGGGAGTGCCCTGACTCCATCCCAGTCATACATAAGGGTTAGATATAGGGGTTAATCAATTATCAGCACAACATGGTACTAAGATTCATTTGTTTTGGTTTTCCTGGCCTATCTCAGAAGCTCCAATGTCCCAACTCACACACAGCCTGAGCTGTGCCCTTTACTTCTTTATTTTATTTTCACTTGTGCTTCTCTTAAACCATCTCACGCCCTCCTCCTAATTCCCTTTCCCGTCTTTTCTGGACCTCATTTTTACATCAGTCTCCCTGGCGCTGCCAACCGACCATTCCAAATCCCCCTCTGCCCCGGGACAAAAGCTGCACAGATGTGGGAAGGGCTGGCACTGGGAAAGCTAACGGCACTGTCATCCTGACCCAGCAGGGAGGCGGCTGTTTTACTTCGGGACAAGAGGCAGAGAAAGAAAAGGGGACCAAGGCGCAGAGAGAAAGAGGACAAAATAACCCAATAGAAATCCGGAAGGGAAATGCATGAGTGAGATTTCTATCAAGGAAAACAGCAGGGGGGGGGGATAAAAACAAAAGACAGAAATGTGTGGAGAGGTGGAGAGAAGAAAAATAAGAGGGGAGAGAAAGAGAGAGCGCGACTCCGGGGCTAAAGAATGGCAGGATGGGGACGGGTGGGGGGAGAAGTTCGCATGAAAGGAGCTGAAAAGCATGACACACTGAGGGGAAGCCCAGCTGAGATCGCTCTCTTTCCTTAACATCTCCGATAGACTGTCTCTGTAGAATTATTAACTTTTTTCCTTCTCTCCTTCTGCCCCCTTTCACTTCACCAAAGCCCCTCTCCAGTTTCTCAGGAGGCAAAGCAGCCTGAACTGGCGATGGGAGGAGGGAAGGGAAGGAGACGCTCAAAAGCAGCTGCCCTTTCACTGAGCTCACTACAACATAAAAGAGAGTCTAAATGACCATATTTCAGAGGCGTTTCCAAAATATACAGCACCATGCAGTCTAAAAGGCCTCGTGGCTCGCAGCACACCCTGCCCTCTCCAATGGATGTGGTTACAGCAACCCACAGGAGACCCACAACTATTAACCCCTGCCAATCCCTTGTTCTATCTGTCCTTCATAGAACTGGAGAAGAAAGATACTTGCTTTAAGCAGTAATGTCAGACGTTATTAGTATTTCTGCAAGTTTATCTGTCAAAATTATCTTTGTTTAATAGCTTGATTGAGGTTGTTATCTGGGGAACAAACTGGATTTGGTTCCTTACCTTCAATGAGGGAATATTTTTAAAATAATAGTAAACTGCGAAGTCAGAACTATTTCAAGCCTTCCCCCAGGTCCACGCTCTTCATTTTAGCTCTATGTGAAGATAAACAGTGTCTGGTTTTTACTGTTAGTGTCTTTTGGCTCAGAATTCCCACTGTAACATAGAACGTAGTTGAGCTATGGGAGCATGCCTTCCATTGTAACTGTCTCTCAGCCATGTTGACCTAAAATTTGGCAAACTTGCACACTAAAATAGACTATTGTATACCTTGTATTTTCTAGGAAAACTAAGCTGTTTTCTGTTTAGGCCACTCACAAATGTCCACTACCCCAAAACATTCACCAAATCTAGACATACTAGCAAATCCCAGGCAAACTCACTCTCCTTCAGCATTCTTTCTGGTGACTATTCAAACTTTGTCTGTGACATGCATCTCTGTCATGGCAGCATTTGCTTTCCAACACCTTCTTTGGAACTCCTGAATCTGATCAGAATGCAAGCTCACTGAAGGCTCTTTACTGCTGACTTTGCAGTGCCAAGAGTAACAAAAGCATCTTCCTTCTTACCAGAGGATGCTATCTAATGGAGTAAGGACATTGAGGTTTGAGGTCACAGAATTGTTCAGGATGGGATGAATTACTGACTGCTCCACCAGAAGTTCCTACCACAAACTCCAAAGGCAACTGTAAACTTCTTTCCTCTCTTCTATTTAAAGTTAAAATACCCTAGATGAACTACAGAATTCTTGTTTGTCTTTTGAGCCTGCAAAGAAGAGGAGAAGACAAGGAGAAGGCAAACTTTGGAATATGTTGTATAATGGTTGTAAACTAGAAATAGTTCAGAACTGCCAGATAAAGACTCCAAACCAAGTTTGATTCCAAATACAGATGATCATTTAGGAGGTTCTTTTTGTAACAGAGCTTCTTAAGCCCACCTTAATTCTGTTTGTGTTAAGCAAATAAACAGTTAACTCTTCTCTCATGTGTATGCATTAGCGTGTGAGATAGTTGCTGACTGCAGCACTAAACAGATGTGGTTCTGATACTTAGTTTGGCCCTCAGTTTCAAGCCAAGTGTTCCTCAGCCTGGCTACAGATAGATCTTAAAAAGTGACCCTCCTACAACAAGCAAAAAACCCGTGATTTAGGAAGGCAGTCTTGAACAACAGATACGTCTGTGTATCTGCCTTTCCTGCACAGGGGATAGAGAGAAACTGTTTTGCAGGAGCAGCAGCCAACACAACTGTTTCTGCAGCAACAAGCAGCTGTCATCCTGACACCTACTAGGTTGGTGCTTCAGCTGCTATTCCAGGCTTGCACTAGTCCACTGCTAAGTATCTGGCAATACTGCAAAGCAGTCTCCTTGTGTGACTCATCTCTGGTTTTTCTAATTTAAGAAGGGTTCTTTTCCTCCCCTTAATATCTGAAATCATTCTGATCAAGATCACAGAATAACCTCTCGCGTTAATGTCCCCTGCATGTTTGCAGAAAGCATAAAGCCATCTCCACAAAAGACACATCATCATTACACTATTTTCTCTCCTTCATAATCCTAGTGCTATGGGCAGGGGGGGACAATTCTGGACTCCTGTATTGCATTCAGTTTACCCCACTAGTTTCATACTAGGCAGTTAAAATTCCTGGTATGGTTGTTTTTGTCTTCTTTTGTTGTTGTTGCTTTTTAAAGATATTCAGAAAACTTTCCCTGTGTGATTAATAATAGGTTTTCTGTGCTGTGTGCTGGAGGGTATTTTGCAGTGCAACTCTTATTAACTATCTCCAGCCATGTATGGGAAGCAGACAAATTACAGATGAAGTATGGCTGGGCAGAAGTAATTGCTAGAACATGAGTAAGACCCATTTTATCAAGGGTGGGTATATGAGCAGAAATGAGAAGCTAGATACAGGGAAAACCCTGGATATTAGTGGCATTGGATTGGGTCTTATACACTAATTAATTTTGAGATTATGCCAGATGCCAGAGAATGCAACAGAAAAACAAGGACATTATGATGATGATGATGATTCAGCAAGAGAGCTCGTTTGTGACGGAGAAGTGCCCAGGGTAGAAACAAGTTTCATTAATTGCTTAGTGGGAGAAGAGAAGAGGCCCCTATTAGAGCATTGTCCCATGCATTCTCTGATCTCCAGAGAATGTTAAACAAACAATGCATTTGGAGAAGCCCAGAGGACATATGTCTGGAAAGCTGCAAAAGCTTCCTGCCATCCTTGGGGATAAAGCGGGGTTACAGGAACTGAGCTGACATTAGCTCAACATTCTGGTTTGTCTTTGTCTAACAGTCCGTAATCCCTCACATTTCTTTTATTCACTTCAAAAATTCCCATGGAATGGGATGGCTCACATCCTTACCAGCTTAAATTATCTTGTTTTAAACCTTCACCAGAGGAACGATAACTGGGTCAGACTGTAAGTTAAAGTATATGTGCCTCAGAAAAATCCTGGAGAGGCAGCCATGACAATGAACTGGCACAGGTCATCTGCACTGTGGGAAGAGACCAGAGACAAGAAGGAAATAAGTGAAATTATGACTGTCTACAGAATTCAGAGGCATGTGTATGCAATGTGACTAATGAGATAATCCAGAGGAGTTAAATAGGAGGTAGAGTTAGCACTGGTGAGACTTGTTACAGCTGGGGAGAAAACTAGCCAATATTCGGATATAAGGCCAACTACCCTTGTGTAGTTACCTTTACATAAAAGAGAAAGTAGCAGTTCAGACTCTCTCAAGTCAGGTATCTGGGGCATAGTTCAGTTGCCCACACACAGATATTTTGTGTCATTCGATATGTCTATGGCAGGCCTTGGGATGCATTTGGAGTCACAGGGTTGCTTGCTTGGGCTCCAGCTGCCAGTCCAGTATGGGTCTCCTACAGGCCTTGTATGTTATCTTGTAGACCCATGCAGAAGTCCTGGATATCCAAGGGCAAGTGATATTAGATGGTTACATTTAGCTAAATGAATGAAGCTCACAGGTAACTGTCGGCTGAATTGCCTGCTTGGCTACAGTCATTACTTTGACTAGGGTCTCCCTTGAGCTAGTCATGCTAAAAATCTGCTGCTATTAAAGATGCCCTCCTCACTTCCATCTGCTACTGGAAGAGGACAGTTCTCCTCTGGTACCTCTGCCACACAGAATTGAATTAATTGAGTCACGGATTTCCTGACAATACAGGAACTTGACCCATAGATTACATGACACCTATATATAAACACCTAAATCAATTAACACAAATGTTAACATATGGATCATCACCTCTTCCCTTCCTATAAGTTGTGCTTTTTTCTTCTCTCTGTACAATTTCTGCAGTAACTTTTGAGTAGGACCAAGGAAGTGATCCTTCCCCTGTACTTGGCACTGGTGAGGCCACACCTTGAATACTGTGTTCAGTTTTGGGCCCCTCACTACAAGAAGGACATTGAGGTGCTGGAGCATGTCCAGAGAAGGGCAACAAAGCTGGTGAAGGGTTTAGAGCACAAGTCTTATGAGAAGTGGCTGAAGAAGTTAGGGTTGTTTAGTCTGGAGAAGAGGAGGCTGAGGGAAGACCTTATTGCTCTCTACAGCTACCTGAAAGGAGGGTGTAGTGAGGTGGGTGTTGGTCTCTTCTCCCAAGTAACAAGAGACAGGACAAGAGGAAATGGCCTCAGGTTGCACCAAGAGAGGTTTAGATTGGATATTAGGAAAATTTTTGTCGCTGAAACAGTTATCAGCCATTGGAATGGGCTTCCTAGGGAAGTGGTGGAATCACCACCCCTGAAGATATTTAGAAGATAAGTACAGGTGGCACTTACAGACATGGTTTACTGGTGGACTTGGCAGTGCTAGGTTAATGGTTGGACTCGATGATTTTGAAGGTCTTTTCCAACCTAAATGATTCTATGATTCTATTAGCTAACACTTATTCCAATTGCCAGAGGCATTCTCTGTGTTTAGGGTTAACACTGCTGCTGAAATAATATAGCTGCTTTTGACATCCAGAAGTCAAAATAGCCATTGATATTTTGAAGAGGGATCAGAGAAGAGCTACAAGAATGTTTAAAGAACTAGAAAACATTTTCTACAGTGCAGGAGGCTGATCACTAAGACTTTAGTTCTGCATGCAGAGCAGTGACACTACTACTGTACCATCTCCAGTGAACAAGATTATGGTAGTTCAACTGGCAGAAACTCCTAAATGTGATTGCCTCAAATGTATGTACACACACAGATTGCTGCATAGCCTGTGTAAGCATGCCTGCAATCCTGTTCCTGACAAGGATAAAAAGAGTCAAAAGGAAAAAAGGGAAATGGCATGATCATAGCCTATGAATATAAATACAAAATGGAGATCATAAATTTTCATTATCATGTGGTCTTGAATCTAAAAGATTTAATATTGAAAGGTTCAAAAGGAAGTTAGGCTAATCCAGTCTGGAAATAAAGGCACAGTTTCCTAACCAGTGTGGTATTAAATACTGAAATAATACCAATGGTTGGATGGGCTCTCCATCGCTGTAAATGTTTTAATAGAGATTAGATGCTTTCTACAACATATGTGCTAATCGAAAAACAAATTATTTCAGAGGACTCCAATGCCAGAGGTTCTAACTAGAGCATCACACTGCTTCTTCACAGCCCTCCAACTGATGCAACTGTGAAACCACCCATCCTCCTCAAAAGCCACCTTTTTTTTTTTCTATAGTTTCTCTTTATCTGGAGCCATCATTGCCATGGCTACCATGTTCCCAGCCTCCTGCTCACACATGCTGCAGGGGGACATTTTGCTGAGGGTGACCACAGCTGAGTGAGGGCACTACCAGCTGCACCGTGTGATTTTACCTGTCTGACACTTGGCTGAAGTACAGCGCTTTGTGGCTTTGCCCACTGTGACTCACCATGCTCCAGGATGTATTTCACAATCTCGCCATGCCCAGTCTTGGCTGCGTGATGCAACAAGGAGCAGTGATCAGGTCCTTGGATTAACAAATTGGCTCCTTTTTTACAGCATTCTATGAACTGGAAAAAAAACCCAAACAAAACACACAGAAGGATAATATGGAAGGAGCAGAAAAACAAATATGCAGGAAAATTATTTACTAACTTTTGTAGGAGGTCAGTACAAAAATACAATAAAATGAAATAAAACTATTACTTTAAAGCTAGCTTTTAGGCCCCAGTGAAAAAATATCTGAAACTAGAAGTATTGACAATTATATAGATAAGAAGGCCAGTTTGTATTTCCTAAACAACGACACATTGCTACTCTACTGGTGTTGAATTATTGCTTCCTGGCAATGCTTGCAAGCCACTTCTGGTGAAGCTGTTGGGGCATTTTAAAACAGATGTATTTGATAGAAAGTTCTGGCTTCTCTACTGAAAATTCCGTTTTTTCCTCATCACAGCAGACAAACACTTTCTGACTAAACCAGAAAACTCAGACTCAAAAATCCACCAAGAGGTGGGGTTCAGCTACCCCAGATCTCCCTTCTCACTCTCTGCTCCCTACCTGGGGCTGACAGAGGGGGAAGCACAATGTAGGGTAAGAACAGGCAGGAAACAGCAACCGGCCAGATCTCAGAAATGCTGCAAAATCAGAGGGAGAGGGGGTTTGCAGTGCACATCACTGAAGAAAAGAGGGAGAGGATTGTGACAGTGGGGCATCTGAAAGATGCAGTGTATCTGAAGAAGGGGAAGAAGTTTCCCTACCAAAGCAAACTCAGGCAAAATGTTTACCAGAACCAGATAGGGGACAATATTTTTATGAGTGCTGGTTGAAGGACTGCTCCCTAGATGTTGCAGCCACAAGCACGGGGCAGTGGTATTGAAGGGGCACTTGCAGGCAAGGAGTTGGCCTAAGAGCACTGTCATTTTTACAAATGGCTCCAAGCTGGCTTCTCGCAGATAAAATTGCAATCATTAATCACAGTCCTCATCCGAATTCGAGGGCATGTTTTCAAATCCTGACTTGGCTACTGAAAAACATAGCTTGAATAACTGTCAGACATGGACTTCAGACATAAGGCAGAAAATGTTTTTGCATGGGTGCTTTTTCCTCTCAATAACTAATAATACTAAGACACTACGTATTTTGAGACATCCATCAGATAATAAAACAACAAGCTGAAGTTTGTTCTACCTGGTCTGGTGGTTGCCTAGGTAGAAGTTAAGAAGTCTTCAGCATCTCTAGGGAATTGGCCATCAACCTCATTGCTATAAAATATCATTTACTGTGTAAGGCTGTGTCAGAACTACCCTGCTGTTCAGTGTTGCATTTGCCCGTATATTAATTTCCCTGTTAGTATCTGACACATTGCTTTGTGCAGCATGCTATGAATCCTGGGCTTAAAGGTGCTATCTAACACCAGATCCTATTCACTCGAATTTCACATCTCACCTGACTGATGTGTTCCCCTAATTTTCAGGATTTCCTGGAAAGGCTGTAAAATGGCACTTGCTAGCAGTCCCTACAGCAGTCTATTTATGTTTTGAGCAGAGGTGTAATAAAATTTACAGTATATCAGACCTGCAAAAAGCCGTGAAAAAGTGGACACTCAGTGCTCTGTACTTACTTTCAGCAGATCACCAGCTATGACTGCCTGTAAAAGTGCTGCAAAAGACAAACAGAAAACTAATGTTAGGTAGAAAGCATTATGCAAATAGTCTCACAGCTGAGAACATAGCTCGCAGTATGTGCAAGTTAAGACCAATCCCTCAATCCACTTACAATCTCATATACTATCAAAACCAATGTGAACCCTGCAGTGGCAGGCAGACGGAAGACTGCCCATGTTGAAAAAAAGCTCTAGGGATATCAAGCCAGCATTTCCAATGCTGCCCTGAAACTGCATGCTTCTATCTGAATTTTTGCCTTAAGGCGCTTCAGGGACCTTTCAACAGTGTCCACAGGGTGGACTCAAGTCTCTGGCATCAGAGCCATCACTGAAGAGGTTTGTGTCAAACACAGAGAACTTGAAAGCATCCTCAGACCTCTCAGACTTCATTCATACTGATGGTGGAGTGGTCAGTCAGTCTCAAATACATTGAGAGTCTCAAGTTGCAGATGATTAGGTGGCAAAATAGAAAATTCTTAACAATTATAAAAAACATTTTGACACACCAGTGGGCCATAAGTTCCCCAGGTCTGGCAGGCTGGATCAAACACAGAGCAGGAGCCAGTCTCCACCTTTTTAGCCTTTGTAATTTAAACAGACACAGAAAGCAAGACAGACAAAGAGAGGCAAAGTGAGCAAAGGCTCACAGCAAGGCAGGATGGAGCTGTGCACAGAGCTGGGAGCTGCTCATTATCCACTACTGTCTGCCCTGCACCCATTAAGAAGGAGGAAGACAAAAGCCTGGGACTCTGTATTGCCCTGTGTATAGATTGCATTCAGCTAAAAACACTGTGGTGGCCAGTAACCACAAATATGAGAAGTTGTTACAAATCTACTGCTATGTGGCTATTTTCTCCTTTTTCCTCCTTCTCCCTATCATGATATATATAGTAAAAAGCAATTATGAATAATCTTTCTGAGAAAGTACTTACTTGGTTTGCATCTTAGAAAGCCTTAAACATCTGCCTCAGTTCATACTTTTTCAAGGGTGCCTAAGCCCATTTCCATCATCTTCAAGCTTAGGCAGTGCAATCAAGTTAAGCATTTGCTCAAGTGCCATCCTTGATAAAGATGCCAAAAGCTCACATAGGGAGGTACAAGGGGGAAAGAAAACCATAGTTTTCATAGCCTTCCCTCTGAAAAATAACACACGGGAAACTGCACAGTATGAATTCCTCCAGGAGCTTGTTACAGCTTCAGAAATGACAACATGTCCAAGCTAACACTGCAGAAGAGGAAGGGCGTGCAAAGACAACTCAACAAAGGTCCCTTTTTTTGAAAACACCTGGTGTTGTGTGTGGCTTTCTGGTCTCAGCAATGCCTCATGTCCTGGCCATGCAGCTGCGGGAAAAGCAACAACCTGTTCTAGATTAGTTCTGCCTTGGGAAAGCAGTAGCGGCGATGCTTGTAGTATTGGATTTAGGGCAGTTCTACAGTGACCGTGAATTAGTTAAACTAAGTCCTGCAAATCCCCCTGGCATCTGTGGGAGCAGGGGCATACAGATCTGAGGAACGGAAAAAGACAAACACTAGCGGAAAAGAGCTAGAACTGGAAAAATACATGTACATCTTTCCTCCAGATTTCATTTTCAGTGGTTTATGTCCTTCTTGTTTTTTTTTTCCCCATAGCCTTAATACTGGCTCAGCCCAAATTAATAGAAGAAGTATTAAAAATGAATGTTTCATTAATTTTATCTTTTTCCTCCTTTTTCGCTGATCTGGTCTCACTGCCACATTTATTCTGCGGCCTACTGCAGTCTGGACTTGTGTAATTTTACTCTCCTCCCACACAAGAAAATCAAATGAACTGGTGCCACCAGCTTTTCATTGCCTTCTACATCCAGTATTTTAAGCATGGCTTCCCTGAAGTTACTTCTGAAGAGGCAGAGATACATATTCTTAAGCAAACCATGCTTAAGATTATAGTTCAGAAAAGCCTGGAGAGATATCTAGGAAACTATAAAGTGAAAAGAAAAGCCTGACAAGCCATGAGAATTCACCTATGTTGAGTATCCATAAACAGAGGTTGATCTGGTGATAAGGCTATTAGGATAAAGCAGCTCAAAAACGCATTCAGCATAATTAGACCAATATTTGCCTCCCTTTCCTAAGCCTCCAATCCAGCAAAGCATTTAGGCAGGTGCTTAGCTTTGAGCTAATCACATTCTTTTCACCAAGTCTACCTGCACACTTAAAATTAAGTGCTTTGCTAGAGTAGAACCTATTGCATAAATGAATACATTACAGACCAACAAAACCAGCTGGCATAACAAGCAGATTAGACTACAGTAAAATAATTCAGTGCTGTAAGCCAGGATGCTGGAAAACTTAGAAGCTATTGAACTAGAGATAGAGAAAGGTTCTTCAGAATAGGGAATACATTTACATAAATATATGAATATTGCTTAGCACGCTAATCTCATAAACCCAAAAGGGACTGTTGGGCATATTGAGGAGGAGGGTGAAGATGGCAAAAATCACCTGGTTGTTAAAGAGGTGGTAAAACAAGCAAGCAGATGGCACTGACAAGAGAGAGCAGACTGAGAAATCGGACAAAAATGTTGTTAACATGCAATGCCAGGCTAGCTTAAAATTAAAAAACATTAAAGTGAGAATGGTTTTATTTCTTCTGAGAAACACAGCACCACTGGTGTAATATATAACATGAATTATGCAATTGCTTTATCATACCATAAAATACCTTCAGGTCTTAAAAATGCCTCAAAATTCACTTGATTTAATAAATATTTAAATCAAGTCATTATTTTCTCGACTTCTCCTAAGACAAGCATTTGTCATGACTAACAAAAATGTTTTATTACCTTTTTCATTTATTTAGCAAGCAGATTTATTGCTGATGAAGGGTGACAGCTTGACAAGACTGGAGACTGAAGTGCTCTGTCCATATAATGAGGAAGCGCTCAGTTTGCCACTGTGGCAGACTCCCCAGGCTGCCTTCTTAGTGAAGCTCAACCCTCTCTACTGCTACACCCCTGTGGACAGCCCCAGCTCCATCCCTGCTCCATCACTGACCTCTCTGCTGAAACTGCCAGCAGATGTGTCAGTCAGTCACTACTCAGGGTGATGGGTCTTGACTGAAACAATTACCTGCTAGGATATGGACAGCCAGAAATGCAGACTGTGTGTGTAGCAGGTGCTAGAGACCAGCAATTGTTCATTTCCACTGTGTGACTTTTGAAACAACGTTCTAACCACCCTTGTGGGCCAACTTACAAAAGAAATCTCATTTAAAAAAAAGAAACTATGCACACATACAAAAAAGCAACAAGAAAAACCACACCCCAAACCAAACATTTTACCCCCCCATTGACTTAAATATTGAACAGCTGCAAGTGGATAATGCACTAAGAAAAAAAATGCCATGTTAAAAAGGCTGCCAATTGAATTCTGGTAATGCTGCAAGCTAGTGTGGCTTGAGACACAGGAAAAACACCTACTAGTACATACACATGCTGAAAACAAAACCTTTGCTGTGGCATGTGTCACTCATGTTATTTCTATGTTAATGCCCACTTTTTCTATTGGAAACAGCTATCTTTATTTCATACTCTAAAAATATATGTTAATGTCACTGAGTTACAATAAACATCTTTGTTTCCAAGCCATAAAATTAACCTACTAAATCACAATTGCTCTCTGGTTCTGCATGTGAAGTCAGAGGCATTAAAACAGCATTGTAAAAATCAGTCATTAAACACTAGGAAAGAGATAACGAAGGAGTGAGGTATTTGTACCCAGTAACTCCAGAGGCTGCAAGATGCCTAGGAGGTCTCACAGGGCTGCCTGGATGGTCAGAAGAGAAAATAACCCTCTGTGGAAAGCAACTTGGCATCCCTGCAATAGTTCCTGTTGCGCATCTCCTTCCACAGCCTACAGAAGGGAAAAGGGTGTCCAACTAAAATTGTACCTAAATTAAGAGCCAAACTAAGACAGAGAAGGGATCCTCCAGAATGGCATGATGGCAGGAGACGTGTCTGATCACCTGTGAGAAGGACAACCAAACAAGGACAAAATGGGGAGAGGGGGTCCTCCTTTTAAGGGTTTCCAAGGTATGATACTCCTGGCACTCATGGTCTCAGAAATTTTGGAAGATCTTTGTATAACATACAGATGCAGCATAAGAACACCTCATAAATGTAAGGGCTAACAAATACAGACCCACAACTGCAACGCATCAAAATAAAACAGCAGGAGAAGGACAGAAATCATTGCCACCATCTCGCTTATTTCAAAAGCAATAAAAATTCTCAGAAGTATCACGAGTAAGGAAAACCTCAACCAACTACCCCTTACCGTCTGACCTGCAGGAAAATTTCCTCCTGATCCCAAACCTGCTGATCAGTTTAACACCAAGGACATAGGCAGGGATCAGCACTGGGCTACTAGAATGCCAGACTTTTGCTGCTAAAACACTTCCAGAAAGAAAACGGAGGAAAAAAAAATCTTATAAACGCTTGTAGGTAACATCTCAGGATCACAAGGTGCTTTGTTTAAGGTAGGTTGACATCGAAGATATTTAGTAAGTTAGTTAAATAATCATTAGTGAGTCAGCGAGAAGAGTCGGCTTTCACCGGCAGAAATCTCAAAGAACTGCACAGTTTCGCAGTCTGCCACTGTCAGTGGTACAGGAGTAATGTGTCTTTTTAGATGAGCAAAATTTATTCATAAACCATAAATATTTCCCAGGCTTTACCACCAGGTCTGACCCTTTCCATGCCATATTTGCATCCACTACTGCTACACAAACTAAGCCACAATGAATGCTGGTAAAAATGTGTGGCTATTTTGAAGCTTTTGCCATCTCCAGGCAATTCTTTAGTGAAGGTCTAAGAACTGTCACAGGAAGGAACAGAATTATCTAAAACTATGTTTTGAATTATAAGTACCACACAAAGGAATTGTCACATCCATGATTCAAACGCATCCAATTTGAGATCTATGAATGAAAGAATGAAATTAATTAAATAATGTATGG